ATGCAATCGCCAAGGGTCGGATACGACTGAATGAATAGATAGATATAGCGCCAACAGTTTGCTCAGCACTTTACAATATATATCGGGAGACAATACAGCAACAATACAGTTCAATACAAGAGGGATTTGAGGGCTCTGCTCCTTGGAGCTTACAATCTAGGAGCTTACAATTTAGTAGTCATAAAGCAGTCCAGGGTGTTTTTTTTTTTTTTTTTTTTGGTTTATTAGGGGATAAACTTAGATAGGAATAGGAAGGTATGGGATGCCCAAAACTGTACTTAAAAACAGCTTGAGGACTTGAAACTGTCTCTGGCTACCAGAAAATCACTAGGCTATCCTTCTGTAAGATAACAAGAACAGCTCAACAGGTAACGTAGGACTGCAAACACACTGAATGCAGGTTCTGTCTTTCTGGATGCCATGGCCAAGGCACCTGGATGTTCCTCAGATTTCCCAAGCAAGAGGTCTAGGGTAGCTGTCCTGGCTTTAAGTGGCTATCTATCTATCTATCTATCTATCTATCTATCTATCTATCTATCTATCTATCTATCTATCTATCTATCTATCTATCTATCTATCTATCATTCTGATTGGGATTAAAAGCCAAAGGTTGAATTAGTTGTCAGCCTTTTATATGTTTCTGAGGCTTCCCAAAGACCTACTGTAAAAGGGAAGGATAACAGATTGAGATAGGTTTTTGGGCTGATAGATGCTGGCCAGTGAAATGAAATCAACTCTCATAGCCTCAATGTGCTCCTTGATACCTTAGTGTTGAAATGTGTCTAATTTGTGGCATCCTCCCCTCTTAAACAGGACATCCCTCCAGTGACTTATCCTGCTTTTTGCCCAGTTATTTATTCTATATTATGGATAGTTATGTAGGAACAGGGGAAGCAGTGGTTGTAGTTGCAACTGAGGAGCATTTGCTCCTGGAGGGCTCATTGGATCCACTTAGCCATTTCCAAATACCTTTACCATTCCCATCACCTTGAGCAAGGGGACATCCAGAACATTATATATGAGATGGAAGGGGTATAGAAGTTGGTAGTGGTGGAGTAGGAGAAAACAGAGGTGAAGTTTGAGGGCTGGGGCTATTAGGTAAAGAGGGTGAGAGTGTGGATCCAAGAAAGTGGGAAAATAGTGTTGGACTCATATGGATATCCTATTAGTAATGCTATTTTATCCTAATTAATGTTAATATAAATGATCTGGTTCCCTTGCAGGCAGCTTTTACACCCCAGGAAATCTCCATGGTCTCCTTGGCTTGTAGTGTAATAAACATGTAAATTGAAGAGCCACACCATTGCTAAAGGTCCAGATATGACCTTTTTTTCCAATAAACCTCAAAGGGACATCTGAATGAGTAGCCAACATGTTGATCAAAAACCACCCCTCCTGGAAGGGGGAAGTGGAGAGAGAGAAGGTCTCAACCAGATGTACTGTCAATGCTACTAATACCAAATCAGAAGAGACAATCATTGGTATATAGCTAGGACTTCACTACAGACCAGTTGGATAACAGTTGGAGGCAGGGGCGGACTGACAACTCACGGGGGCCCCGGGCAATAGGGGATCATGGGGCCTCTGTGTCCTTGTCCAAACTCAAAAAAGCCTATGAAAAAGGTACCAGGGGAATTTCATGGGGCCCCCTACTGACCCCGGGCCCACAGGCAGTGCCTGAGTTTCCAAATGGTCAGTCTTCCCCTGGTTGGAGGGTCTCTTCATCACCGCAGATCCTGTTTCCAACACAAAGACACATGCTGCATCACCCTCAGGGGCCCCTACATCAGGACTTTGCTGCAACATTCATCTGGGGGTATCTCTACATATCTGAGTATATGTTCACCAGGATTCTGGTCCTTTGCTGATGATATCTGTTTGTACATTGAATGTATGTACTGCTATTGCATTTCTCTTATATAGAGCTTGTACTATTTCTATACTTGTGTGCATTTATATACTTAATGGTTAATGCTATATGCTGGTTGCAGTAGTTCTTCTGCTCCCAATAACTTTGTTTAGATTACTGGTTAATGTTGCAGGAAGGGAATCGCCTCTGTTCAAATTCCCACTCTTCTACTTAGTAAAGGTTATGGTTCTCTTATTTACCTACAGGTTTAGTGCACTATCCTGTTTGGGTAAGGCCATTTCTCATACCCCCCCCCCCCTTCCCCCTCAAAAGAAGGCTGGATGTGTAACAAGAAAACCCTGTTTTTCTTTCTCCATTTTTTTTCCCTAGAGAAATAAGGGAACAGCATAATGTCTAACAAGTTTTCAACTGTGATTTGTCCAGAATATTGATGTCAAGAAGCAGTGTAAAGTCCCAGATCCCTTCAGGTAACCTGTGTTAGGATACCGAAGGAGGATCAATTTACATGCTTTTATCTGGCTTACCCTTGTAAATGTAATAAATTGATACATTTCAGTGGTTCCTTCTGTTCGGACTGTTTTGTTTCTACTTGTTTGCAGTACTGTCATCTTGGCACTAGAGGACAAACAAGCCAGAAGAGCTGAAATTAAGTGGGTCGCGTGATTTGGAAAAAAAATCTGAAATTAAGGGACTCAAACAGTTATTATGAGTGGATTATTATTATTATTATACAGGACTTATATAGTGCCGACAGTTTGCTCAGCGCTTTACATTATTGAGGGAGACAGTACAGTAACAATACAGTTCAATACAAGAGGGATTAGAGGGCCCTGCTCCTCGGAGCTTACAATCTAGGATAACAGTAAAATATGATCATTACTCTGGAATGGACAGAACAAGAAAAATAAAACACATTTATTAAGTCTGCCAAGCAGCAAGGATATTATGTTTGAGGACATATGTATGGAATTTTATGCCTGAGTGGAGCCTAGGATTGCCACCTCATCTCTTTAAAACAGATCACATATTAACTAGAAAAGCTACAATTTCTGGGGAAATTGTGTGAAGTGTTCTTGCCTCCACCAGTAGTCTACAACTGGAGTGGGCGGAGTAACTGGGTGGAGTGGCTTGTCACTCTGCTGCCTGCTCACACACCTGGTTTCCTATGGCAACTCACTCTCCAGCAAGGGCAGAGAAGAGCGGTTAAAGACAAACTGCAACAACTTGCTCACTTCACTGGCGCTTGCCATCTTCAAATGGTTGTAGTTTAAAAATGATAAATCCTACACCGAAGAGCTTTATATTGTGAGAATCACAAGACCCAGACCTACATTTTGATGCATAGTATGTCTCTGAAATATTAAAAATGAAGGCACAGTTGCAGTTTAGAAATTGCCCTTCAAATTTGAGGTGGCTAGAGTGGAGTTTCAATCAATGTCAATGGGTGGCGTGAGTTGGAAACAAATGGTCATATTGTGAAAACTATCAGGACTATGGCTTTGCCGTGGACATTTTTAGTGGGAGCAGGGATAGCTGAACGTTTTGATATAAGATTTGTGTTGGTGGGCTTGAAAATTATGTGATGGCAGTTTAGAAATCATGTCCTGATTTTTCAGCTCACACTCTAGCTTTTGTCAGCTCCCACTCTAGTTTTGAACATTCCACCATTCATTCCTATGGGACCAATTTCACCACAAAAAAACGCCGATATTTCGTGAACCATTCGGTGAAACGTTCCACAAAGTAATAGCACACCAATCGGGAACAATCCACATGTTTCGGTATATTACTGTCTATGTAGTGTAAAAACTGTGGGAGGAGTTAGGGTGCTAAATTTGGCTATAATAAAAAGAATATATATGTGAGATAACAGTAAGTGGTCTTGCCATGCAAGAACACTTAATTACACAGGTTCTGGGGCTGAATAAAGTGGTCATTAAACTCACTTGGTTTCTTATCTGCAATAAATTAGCCTCAGAACCTGTGTAATTAATATGTGTTTGGTTCTAAAGGGATGAGGTGGCAACCCTAGGTGCCAGTGTGAACTATGCAACTTGTAGCAAACAACGTACAGGTGAGATCTCAGCAGTTGCTGGTTGCTTAAGCTGTTCCAGCTGGCCGTATGCATGTATGCGGCCTCTTGGCGGGTGGGCTATAACACCAAGAGACCGCATATATATGTCCCAATGTAACCATTTTTTTTGCTGAGAGCGCGCTCTAAGCATAATTACCAGCAGGTACCAGAAGGCTCCTGATGCACTTGCGATCTGGAGCTTTCTGATCACGTGGCTGCTGTGACTGCCAATCACAGCAGTCACATGATCGGAGTGACCCCCTCCACCTCTGGGCATTTAGAACCTCTTAAAGGGCCAGAAGGTGGTGGCAGGATGGAGATAAGGACCCTTTTGACCTGACATCATTCAACTTAATGGTAAATTTGCAGCTAAACAGCTGCTCCATCCAATCAGATACAGTTGCTGTTTGGATATTCTGACAGTCACCGGCTGGAGATTTGTCCATCTGACCTGTATAGTGTGGATGGAGGAATTTGTAAGATTTTTTTCATTCAGCCTGAAAAATATTCTTTGTCTGCATGGCCAACCTTTTAGGGAAACAGCCCCCTGGGCAGAATGTTTGAAACTATAGAGATTTTTTATTGGTTATTAGATGATTGCTCACAACTGTTCCTTTTTTGGAAGGACAGTCCTTTTTTGGAACCAAACTCCTCTGTCCCTCTCCCTTGTCAGTTGTCCCTCTTTTTTGTCTGATGTATGTACCTCTATAACAAATGCACCATTTAACTACCGACGTGTTAAACTACACTTAACCTTTTATCCAACCTCTATATCATTGATTTGTGGTTTTGTAAAGCCAGTATATTGGTAAGGTACTGGTGAAAAAGTACTCATGGGTTTAACAAATGTATTTTTGTGTTTTAATATTTTATGGTTCATGTAACCGGGAGTATAGCAGCAGTGTATCCTTTGCATACATATTTTGTGCTAAAAGGTGTTCCCCACCTCTCTCTCATCTCAGGAAAACAGTATGGTTTACAGGCACATTTCATATGCCGGATATATGCGTGCTGCACCATGTACTTTGTGTTAAAAAAAATATCCAGTTATCTTTGTATTGCTTCCTTTCTGGTGATCATGTCAGTTCAGGGGCGGACTGAACATTTGGAAACTCGGGCACTGCTCGAGGGCCTGGGGTCAGTAGGAGGCCCCATGAGATGCCCCTGGTACCTTTTTCATAGGCTTTTTTGAGTTTGGGCAAGGACACAGGGGCCCCATGATCCCCTATTGCCTGGGGGCCCCATGAGTTGTCAGTCCGCCCCTGTGTCAGTCCCTCTGCTTTCTTTTTGCAAAATGACAATGGTAGGCATAGAAGCACATCCTTTCCTGCGTGGTCAGTTTTTCTGGCTGTGTTGGGAGCACAGCCTACCTGTCCTCCAATGGCCAAGACTTGTGCTGACACGTTCCCCTACACAGCTCTTCACCTCTCCAAGCCCCTTATGCAGCCGAGAATAGAGACCATTTAATGACTTATTAAAAAAGAAAAAAAGTGTTTCTAAAGTTTTATGGATATGTATACACACACGTTTTTACATTGCATTTCCATTTTTAACTGAATGAGTTGTTTTATTATGTGAGGACTCACCTATTCTTTAAGTGTTGTGTTTTGATCCTCAACAATAGAGACAAAGAAAAAGTTATTTTTTAACTGCTTAGAAACACTTGCTGTGTGTTTACAAAACAGGGTTTGCAGTCTGCCAAGATCTATGTTAATAGAAAAAAACTGAGATTTCAATGAATGTGTTGTGAATTTTGAAAATGAATTTCTCCACAATGCCTGTAACTTTAGAGGACTTTTTTTTAAGTATTTATTGTTTGTTCAAAGTATGAAAATAGTTTAGTGTGCATGGGCACAGGTATACTTTAAAGCCTAACTCCAACTTTGCTATCATGTTAAATAATTTGTTTGGATCAAGTTGGCCCAAACAAACTATTTCCTTTTTAATGCATGTGGCCACTGTGAGCACTGTATAAACTGTATGTACAATTAACTACATACAGTATAGATGGTGACTTCCCTTCAGCTGCTGGAACCTTGTATTTTATGTTTGAATATAAGGCTTCCTCTGAATGGCTGAGATGAGGATTGTGACATCATCTACCTGCCTCTCCACCTCAGCCAGTCAGAGGAAGCCTTGTACACATTGATAAAAATACAAGGCATACTGTAAATGACTGAGCTCAGCATAACTCAATTTTGTTTCCAAAAATGGAACAGAAAGTCTGCCGGAACACAGTGCTGAATACTGTATGTAGCAGTTTATTTTAGAGCTGCCTGCGGCTGCATGTGTTCATAAAGGAAATAGTTCATTTTGGCCAGCTTGGCTCAAATGAACTATTTAAAGTGATAACAAAGCTGGAGTTAGGCTTTAAGCATTCAGTGCTCCCTGATTCCGTCCTTCACACTATGGCATTTCCCGCCAGCCCTACCTCCCTACATAACATAGTATTAATGAACTGGCAGAATGAAACACAAAGTGTGGGGGGGACCAGGAGATTGACACAGAGGTGAGTCAGATGCTGAAGATTCACTAAGCAGTGGTATCTCTTGAACACAGAGGAATCTCTAGAATACAGAGGAGACCCGCAGCATGGTCAACGGAACAGGTGAGTATTAAAATTCTTCATTTCTAGGTTGCATGTTTGTCTATTTTTGTTAGCTGACAACAGGGTCACTTTAAAATACTGTATCTTTGGCCTATTTGGGAATTAAGGCGATAGTCTCATTTCTGAACAGTAGGTGGCAGCATGAAACCAAAGAAAGCTGCCAAGCCCAGGTGTTCTCATTTTAATGCATTTAAATAAAACTAGTTCCTTGTTTAAACAGGTGAGTTGGAATGTTATACTTAATGGCATTTTTTTTTGTTGTTTTTCGTGCTTTTTCTATATATACTGAGGAGTGCTATGCCAGATACCCGGAGGAGTGAAAAAACAATATAATTACAAGTTTATGTGTTTAGAGCAATGGGCGATCTCAACTTGAAGCAGGTGATTTCCTTACTGTGTATTGGTAATACAGGACCTTTCTTTTTAGCTTTGTCCACTTGCATGATACATACATGGGAATACTTAAACAGGGTCTAAGACACTGTTTAGAAGTATGAAACTTATCAATAAAAAATAAAAAACCCTTGCACAATCACCACTCTGAGTAAATATGAATACCTGCAAGAAAATCTGACTGTAGGGGATGGTTGCTGCTGTATCCCAATATGATCACACCACATAAACGTTAAACCAGTAATACTGCAAGGGACAGCACTACACATGTAGATATATACATTAAATATCATATCCTATATTGCAAGATATCGCATGTTATATTGCAATGCTTATACAAATATCAATCCAGTCCGGAATACTCAGTACTATGATCATTATTATATAAAATATCAATCCCATCCAGGTGTGTAAATAAAAGCTCAATGTAGTGCCAACACCTCATGAATAACCACCACCTTCAGCTTCTCACCTGATTATTTAGACCTACTCCTCTTTCAGGCTAATGCAGGCCATAGACGGGTCGAACATCGGCCGATTTTTCGAACGATAAACGAAAAATCGGTCGTTCGTTCGTTCAGCCGACGTTATCACCAACGAATAAAAAAATCATCCGACTAAATCATAAAGTTCACCCCATAACTTCTCTCCCTTTCAGGTCACAGTTCATGCGCAGATTTTTTATTGTTAAAACGATCATCCAAATTGGCCACCATTGCCGGGAAAATCGGCCAATCGTCCAAAATTGGCCGCAAATTTCCCAACATAACTGATAATCTGAAAGTGCAAAATAAACAAAAAACGGCCGACGAACTAATCCTTTAACGGTACGAATATCGGCCGATTAACGACCCATCTATGGCCTGTATTAGAGTGCTATTAACCCTTTTATCCCTGGGTTATGGGGATCTCTCCTCCTGGTAGGTAGCTCCCCTCTTTCTTTCGACATTTAGTCCTCATACTAACAGCCAGAAAACCCCCCAGGATGTTATCCTATGTGTCCATGCACACATAGACTGTAATCGTTTCTTGGCTGGGACGTTTTTTGTCTTGAAAAAAAACCCCAGGATTAGTGGGTTTCTAGAGGAGTTTTTTAATGCTGAAAAACGCCGCTAAGCACTAATGCAAAAACGCTAAAAAAAGCTGAAAAACTCACGTTTTTAACGTGACTTTACACAGCTAACGTTATCAGCGTTATCAAAATGCCCAATGTGCATGGAGCCTAAATCTCAGCAATATGGTGCATACAGGTGAAACTCGAAAATTAGAATATTGCGCAAAAATTCATTTATTTCAGTAATGCGACTTAAAAGGTGAAATTAATATATGAGATAGACTCATTACATGCAAAGCAAGATAGTTCAAGCTGTGATTTGTCATAATTGTATGATTATGGCTTACAGCTCATGGAAACCCCAAATCCACAATCTCAGAAAATTAGAATATTCCATGCAATCAATAAAACAAGGATTGTACATAGAACAATATCGGACCTCTGAAAAGTATAAGCATGCATATGTACTCAGTACTTGGTTTGGGCCCCTTTTGCAGCAATTACTGCCTCAATGCAGAGTGGCATGGAAGCTATCAGCCTGTGGCACTGCTGAGGTGTTATGGAAGACCAGGATGCTTCAATAGCGGCCTTCAGCTCTTCTGCATTGTTTGGTCTCATGTCTCTCATCTTTCTCTTGGCAATGCCCCATAGATTCTCTATGGGGTTCAGGTCAGGCTAGTTTGCTGGCCAATCAAGCACAGTAATCCCACGGTCATTGAACCAGGTTTTGGTGCTTTTGGCAGTGTGGGCAGGTGCCAAGTCCTGCTGGAAAATGAAGTCCGCATCCCCATAAAGCCTGTCTGTGGAAGGAAGCATGAAGCGCTCCAAAATCTCCTGGTAGACGGCTGCGTTGACCCTAGACTTAATGAAGCACAGTGGACCAACACCAGCAGATGACATGGCTCCCCAAATCAACACAGACTGTGGAAACTTCACACTGGACTTTAAGCATCTTGCAGTGTGTGCCTCTCCATTCTTCCTCCATACTCTGGGTCCTTGGTTTCCAAATGAGATGCAAAAGTTGCTCTCATCCAAAAAGAGGACTTTGGACCACTGAGCAACAGACCAGGTCTGTTTTTCTTTAGCCCAGGTAAGACGCTTCTGACGTTGTTTGTTGTTCAGGAGTGGCTTGACAAGAGGAATATGACATTGAAGCCCATGTCCAGGATCCGTCTGTTTGTGTGGTGGCTCTTGATGCACTGACTCCAGCCTCAGTCCACTCCTTGTGAAAGTCCCCAACACTTTTGAATGGCCTTTTCCTGACAATCCTCTCCAGGCTCGGTCATCCCTGCTGCTTTTGCACCTTTTTCTTCCACACTTTTCCCTTCCACATAACTTTCTATTAATGTGCTTTGATACAGCACTTTGGGAACATCCAACTTCTTTTGCAATTACCTTTTGAGGCTTTCCCTCCTTATGGAGGGTGTCAATTATGGTTTTCTGCACATCTGTCAGGTCAGCAATCTTTCCCATGATTGTGATTCCTACTGAACCAGACTGAGAGACCATTTAACCACTTCCTGACCGGCCGTTGTATATAAACGGCCGGACGGTGGCACTGCAGGGTCGGGCGGCTGTTTATAAATGGCCTCCCCGCACCCTGCTTGTGCGCGCTCCCTGGGAGCATGCAGCACCGTGATCCGGTGCCCGCTGTGTCCTCCGGACACAGTGAAACACCGATCGTCGGATGGGACCTCTGTACGAGGTCCCGATCATGTGATCACTGATTGGCCAATCAAAAAAGTGTCCGGACTGGAAGTGGTTAAAGGCTCAGGAACCCTTTGCAGGTGTTATGGCTTAATTAGCTGATTAGAGTGGGACACTTTGAGCCGAGAATATTGCACCTTTTCACAATATTCTAATTTTCTGAGATTGTGGATTTGGGGTTTTCATGAGCTGTAATCATCACAATTATGACAAATCACGGCTTGAACTATCTTGCTTTGCATGTAATGAGTCTATCTCATATATTAGTTTCACCTTTTAAGTTGCATTACTGAAATAAATGAACTTTTGCACGATATTCTAATTTTTTGAGTTTCACCTGTATTCATGAAGGCTTAGCTCATTGTTGGAATTGTGGTATCTTGTCAATCAAGATTTCTGGAATAAGGGACTTGAACTAGGGAATCCATAACTTTGACATGGTCACAAAATCCATGTGGACAGTTGAGTATCAGCTTACAGCAGATTTGCATATTCAAAGCAATA